GCAGGTGAGCCTGGGGCGCGGGGTCACAGAGGCTTAAATCTGCCTCTGCCTCCAGGCAGTCAGAGCTCCTCTTTAACTCCTGACTCACTGCATTCCAGGGATCTGGTGGACGAAGCCAAGGATTACCACCTCATGCCGGAGCGCCGGCCGCACCTCCCGGCGTTCAAGACACGCCCCCGGTGCTGCACGTCCATAGCAGGGCTGATCTACGCCGTGGGAGGGCTGAACTCGGCAGGTACCTTGCAGTGGAAAGGCCACGGGGAGCTGGGGAGGACCACGGGATGGGGAAATTCCCTCAGGTTGGAGCGTTGAGCGGTTCCTCCTCCCGGCCCTTCCAATGGAGCGCCCAAGGTGTGCCTGTAGTTTAACGTCTTCCAACTCAAATCCTGTCCTGATGAGGTTTATTTAGGGCACATTCTTGGTGTGTCCTTGCCTGGAACTCCAAGGAGGACCTGGAGGTGTCTCTGGGATGTTGTTGGGATTGTGGGATCACATGTGCAGTCACCACATATTCACAGGGGCCAGACCATGGTGTAAAAAGGGAACAGAAAGTGTTCAGGGAAACGTGAAGCAGCAACAGCACAGATGGGACTGCAGGTCTCTGCTGCCCCTTGGAGGGCACTGGAGGTGCCACTTCCACAGCCTGGGACTCGTCGGGGCTCCTGGTGCAGAGCACAGGAAAGCTGGGAAGTGTTCCACGATCTTTTGGAGTACTGGAGTGTGTTTTGTGGGAATTGTTCAGAGCAGCATCTCTGGGGGAGAACTGGGAAGTGACTGGGAAATGCCTCTGCCTTGGCTCTGTGGGAGCAGATAGGCTGGAACAGGATGTGAGGGCCCAGGACAGGGCACAGAATCCCAGAATGGTTTGGGTTGGAAGGGACCTTAAGGATCATGCAATCCCACCCCATGGCATGGGCAGGGACACCTTCCACTAGACCAGGTCCCTCTGGATGCCATCCCATCCTAGCAGAGCCCAGATGTTTTCCCAAAGAAAACCAGGGGTTCCCTCAGGTTCCCAGGGCTTCACCAGCTCTCCCTCTTTTAATTTGAGTAGCAAATTTTTACGCAGGCGACTCCCTGAACGTGGTGGAGGTGTTTGATCCCATTGCCAACCGGTGGGAGAAGTGCCAGCCCATGACGACGGCGCGGAGCCGCGTCGGGGTCGCCGTGGTCAACGGGCTCCTCTACGCCATCGGCGGCTACGACGGCCAGCTCAGGCTCAGCACCGTGGAGGTCTACAATCCAGAGACGGATTCCTGGTCCAAAGTGGAAAGTATGAACAGCAAGAGGAGGTTCGTGCAGCTCCCCGGGGAGGGACCTTCGGAGCAGCGGGGAAAAACGAGGCTGGAGTGCTGGGGGTGGTGGCCACCGACGAGGAGTCTGTGTGTGGGAGAGGAGGGAGTGGAGCAGCTTGGAAGCAGGTGGGATTTGCTTGGCTGGTTTCGGGATGCTCATGCTGATTTTGGGTGCTGCTTGTTGGTGAGAAGCAGCTCAACAAAATTCCGTGGGTATGTCACGGCACGGATGGAGGAGGAAAGGTGTTAAGACCCAAGTGCCACATCCTCAGGGCTTTGAAATCCCTCCAGGGATGGAGACTCCACCCCTGCCCTGGGCAGCTGTGCCAGGGCTGGGCAGCCCTTTCCAGGAAGAAATTGTCCCAGTATCCAACATGACCCTCCCCTGGCACAGCTTGAGGCCGTTTCCTCTCATCCCGTCCCTTGTTCCCTGGGAACAGAGTCCAACTCACCCGCCCCGGCTCCAACCTCCTTCCTGGGAATTACAGCGAGCCAGAAGGTCCCCCCTGAGCCTCCTTTTCTCCAGGCTGAGCCCCCCCAGCTCCCTCAGCCACTCCTGCTGCTCCAGCCCCTTCCCAGCTCCCTTCCCTTCCCTGCACACGCTCCAGCCCCTCCATGTCCTTTTTGTCCTGAGGGGCCCAGAACTGCCCCCAGGATTTGAGGTGCTCACAGCAGTGCTCACAACCTGTGAGACTCCCGGCTTAGGTGGGACTGAGCCATTTGGAAGTGAATCCAGGGAAAAGGAGGTTCTTTGGGATGACAGAGGAGATGGCACAGGGGCCAGGCAGGCTGTGTTGGGGTCAGTGTGGCAGCACCTCCAGCCTTCTCACGGGGTCCTGCCGTTCCTTGCAGCGCCATGGGAACGGTGGTGCTGGATGGGCAGATCTACGTGTGCGGTGGATACGATGGGAACTCGTCCCTCAACTCCGTGGAGTCCTACTCTCCAGAGACAAACAAGTAAGAGCCTTCCACATCCTACAGCTTTTCCATGAGTTTTGTGCTCATGTGCCATGGGCACCACAGGGCATCTGGGCTGTGAGAGTGGTTTAAATAAGGGGTGGTAAAAGGAGAGTTGGTGGAAGCCACTCCTAGAAAATCGTGGACTCTGGGGCTGTCCCTGACCTCTGCCCTGTCCCTCCAAGGTGGACAGCAGTGACCCCCATGAGCTCCAACCGCAGTGCCGCCGGAGTCACCGTCTTCGAGGGCCGGATCTACGTGTCGGGAGGGCACGACGGGCTGCAGATCTTCAACAGTGTAAGGCTGGGATCCTGGGAACTCCTCAGCTTGAGGTTGGAAAAGCCCTCTTGGACCGTCCAGTCCAACCATTCCCGGGCACTGCCAAGGCCACCCCTGACCCATGTCCCCAAGTGCCACATCCACAGGGCTTTGAAATCCCTCCAGAGATGAGGACTCCACCACTGTGCCAGGGCTGGACAACCTTTTCCAGAAAGTAATTTTCCCGATATCCAACCTAAACCACTCCTGGCACAGCTGGAGGCCACTCCCTCTCCTCCTGTCCCTTGTTCCCTGGGAGCAGAGCCTGACCCCCCCCCGGCTCCCCCCTCCTGTCAGGGGGTTGCAGAGCCAGAAGGTCCCCCCTGAGCCTCCTTTTCTCCAGGCTGAGCCCCCCCAGCTCCCTCAGCTGCTCCTGCTGCTCCAGCCCCTTCCCAGCTCCATTCCCTTCCCTGGACACGCTCCAGCCCCTCAGTGTCTTGTCACGAGACGCCCAAAACTCCCGGAGGATTGGCGGTGGTGCCTCAGCAGCGTGGGGGGATATTCCCCGGGCGTTTCCCAAGCCGCTCTCCCTGACGTCCCGCGCCCTCCCTGCCCGCAGGTGGAGTACTACAACCCGCACACCTCGTCCTGGCACGCCGTGTCCAACATGCTCAACAAGCGGTGCCGCCACGGCGCGGCCGCGCTCGGCAGCCGCATGTTCGTGTGCGGCGGCTACGACGGCTCGGCCTTCCTGAGCGCGGCCGAGGTGTACAGCTCCGGGGCCGACCAGTGGTACCTGCTGGTGCCCATGAACAGCCGGCGCAGCCGCGTGTCCCTCGTGCCCAACTGCGGCCGCCTCTACGCCGTGGGCGGCTACGACGGACAGTCCAACCTCAGCTCCGTGGAGATGTACGACCCCGAGAGCAACCGCTGGACGTTCATGGCGCCCATGGTGTGCCACGAGGGCGGGGTGGGCGTGGGCTGCGTCCCCCTCCTCACCATCTGAGCTCCGGAAGGTTCCGGGGGGACTTTGGGAGGGGGGGGGGTGTTTAGTCTTCAGCGAGAGGTTCGGAGCGTGCCGGGATTTCCAGGCGCTCGGCGCGAGCGCGGAAAGACTCGATGGAATGATGCCCATGGGGAGGTTTTTGGGGTGAAGGTCCTGGAAGATCAAATGTGGTGAGTTTACGTGTGGGGAAGGACCCCTCGGCCTCTCCCGGAGCAGTGGCCAAGCGGATCCATCTCGCTGTCCATTTCCCTTTGGGAAGCACTGCCATGGGCCGGGGGAGAGGGGGACAGGCTTAATTCTGACATCAAAACAGCCACTGGAATGACTTTGGAAAATCCATCTGCACCTTCTGGGAGCACCAAACCCACCTGAACCCCCCGAGGGGCGTCGTGGTCACACAGGGGGGTCTCAGAACAGAACGAACCCAGCGCTGTCGGTTCCAGGTGCTTCTTACACAAGACCCTCCCAGCTCCTCGTGCTTTCCTCAGCTCGATGTGGAAAATTTCTCCACAGGAGCCACAGGATGGGGAAACCAGGAAGAGGAACAGGTCGGTTAAACCAGCAGATCGTTTTGGAGAGGGATGGATGTGAACGACTCCAACAGCCTGAGGGTTTCAAAATGGGGAATAAGTGATCAAGATGTCCTTTAAATTGAATACTGAGATGTTTTCCAAGACCAAGAGGCAGCTTGGAGAGGAACAGCCAGGATTTTTTTTTAGGAGAGGCAAGAAAGAAACGTGAATTTGTTGTGCTCCGCTGGGAAAGGTCTTTTGTGCAGTGGGTTTTGTGCCAGGAAACTTTGGAATGCTGGCAGAGCCAAAGAGCTGCCCGTCAGCAGCTTCCCTGCATCAGCCCTTCTCCTGCATGACCGTGATCCGCCGTCCCTCCGGAGCGCTCCGTGCCCGGCTCTTCCCGTGCCAGCCCTCGGCACAGCCATACCTCCTCCGGGCAGGAATGTGACACTAATCCCAGCAGCCAAGGGATGGGGGGCTCCCCCCTTGTCCTGCCCCATCCCAGCGTTCCGGGGGGCTCGGAGCGGGATGTCCACCCCAACCCCCTGCCCCTGCTCATTCCTGACTCCCAGCGTCCCTCGGGATCGCTCTGGGTGTACATGTCATGTCTATATTGGGGTACTGTGTATATTTTGGGGTCTATAATGAGCATATCTGGCTATAAATGTGATCTATCAGTTCAGATCCATTGCTTCCATCTACTGTCCACTGCTGGCTTCCTGGGGGTGGGAATTCCTTTGGGCTTTCCATGCTGCTCATGCTTTAGAAAGGGAAAAACCCACCCAGGAACGTTGGGATCAGAACACAGTTGTTGCTCATTGCACCTTCTCCAGGACTCATCCCGATGTTCTCCATGTGCAGAGGAGGCTCTGATGAGCTGCTCTCCTGGTGTTCCATCATCCCTTCTCCCTCCCACATCTCCCCCCCGGGATTTGTGTCCATAAGAATGGGAATACTGGATCAAATACCCTTGGAAGAGCAGCAGCTCGGGGCTGTCCATGTCCCAGGGGATTCCAGGGTGCTGCTCCCAGGCACAGTGATCCCGGGGGATTCTGGTGTTCCCCAGCCGCTCTCCCTGGGATTTCTTCCCCAAGGATTCCTTTGCTTTACCATTGTGGATGAAGCAAAGAGAAAGGGGAGCTCCTGGCCCCAAAGGGGACAGGAAGATACTGAATTTTAGGGAAATGAGCCGGGAATGCAAACTGGGAGAGTGGGATTCACCCAGTGCAGTCCTTGGTAAATCCAGGGTTCTTGAATCCAAGGAGAAACTGGGGATGGGGTGTTTGGATGAATCTGAGCAGGGTGAGAGGGATTTAAAAAAACCCAAAATAATGTAAAGAAAGCAGAAAAGGAAAGGGGGCTCCTGGTTCTATTCCCCGGCAGCTGGGAGGATGCTCTCACTCCCAGTTCGGGAGGAGCAAGACAGGAGTTGTTCCATCATGCCAAGAACTGGGAGCAGGCCCAGGGAAGAAGGGGCCATGGAGGGGGATCGGCCCTGCCGAGCTCCGGCATCGCCGCATCCCCTCCAGGTCCGGGCGAGCTCCTCCCGGCTCCGGGCCAAGGACAACAGCGGCAACCCGAGCCCTTCCCGCGGAACGGGGGGCCCGTGTTTACCCTGGAGCCGGAGCCGGGGGGCCCCGAGCCGAGGGCCGATCCCGGGCCGGCAGAGAATTCCCCGCTGTCCCGCTCTCATGGCGCTGCTGTTGGGAGCGGTGCTGCTGGCGGCGGGCGCCGCGATCCCGCCGGGAATGCCGGCCCCCCGCGACCTGGCCCGCTCCGTGCTGGAGACCCACGGGCAGGACCTGCGGCTGCTCAAGCTGCTGGGAGTCACCAGGACGGTAGGAATCGGGCTGGGGGGGTGCAGGTGGGTGCCCCCAGCTCCCCATCCCGTGGGGATCCCGATGGATCTTTTCTCCCGGCAGAGCTTCGACTGGGGAACCCACTTCAGCATCAACTTCACGGCCCGGCAGCCGCCCTGCCCCAAACCCGCCCCGGACCCCCGCGGCTGCCGGGGCCGCCCGGGCAGGGTGAGCTGGGACGGGGGTCCCCGAGCCCGGGGGGGACAGGAGGGTCCCCGAGGTGCTGAGGGTCCCTTGTCCCCAGGTGCAGCGGTGCTCGGCCCAGGTGTCCGTGTTCACCTTCCTGCCCGACGTGCCGCTGTCGATGGTGGAATGTGGCGAGGAGCCGGTGAGGGCTCCGGGACCCCCATCCTGGGGGGGGGACACGCGTGTGTCCCCCGCTTTGGGGTCGGGTTTTTAGGCTCTGGAGTGAAGCCCACCTTATTTCTCCCCACAGCAGCCCGGTGGCAGCGCCCAACCCCGCTCCCCTGGCAACCCAAAAACCTTCAGCGCCAACCCAGGTCACTCCTCCTCATCATCCTCCTCCTCCTCGCGGCCCCCCCCGCGGCCTCGCCCCCCCAGCGCGTCCCCCCGGGGGTCATCCCGCCGCCCCCCGGCCCCAACGGAGCTGGAATAAAGAGATTTCGGGGTCAGACGTTTGTGTGTGTGGGGCTGGCACGGTTTGGGGGGGCCCGGGGAGGCACCCCCGGCGTTGGGAAACAGCCATGGGGCAAGTTTGGGGTTGTGCAAGCCCGGGGGGCACCAACCCGGCACCGCGGCCCCTGCGCCCCTCCCACAGGGCTCCGGGCCCCCCGCCCCCCCCATGGCCAGCCAAGGGGCTCCAAGGGATGGGGATACCCTGGGAGTCCCCGAGGGGGGCGATGTCACGGCCCGTCCATTGGGACACCTGGGGCTCCGTGTCCTCCCACCCGTGTCCCCAAAAAACAACGGCCGCCCTGTGGGTTGGGACCAGGTGTTTCCGGAGCGGGGTTGGGGAGAGCCAAGCCCCGGGGAGGGTCCCCGACCTCCCGGGGGGATAAAAGTGGCGCCGGGGTGGCCGTGGGGGACAGGGATGCCGAGCCCGTGGGCGCTGGTGCTGCTGGTGGTGCTGGGGGGGGCCCGTGCCCTCCCCGCCCCGGCCCCCCTCGCCTACACCCAGGCGCTGGCTCAAGCCGTGGACTCCTACAACCAGCGGCCCGAGGTGCAGAACGCCTTCAGGCTGCTCAGCGCCGACCCCGAGCCCGCCCCGGTGAGTGCCCCCCACTCGGGACCCCCCCACCCGTCACGCGTGACCCCCCTGTTCGTGATCCCCCCCCACTCCTGCTGCCTGACTGGGGCTGCTCAGCGCTGATCCCAAGCCCGTCCTGGTGAGTCCCCCCCACTCGTGACCCCCCATTTGTGACACCTCCACTCGAGGCCCCTGACTCGGGCTGCTCAGTGCCAACCTCAAACCCACCCCTGTGAGTGCCCCCCACTCGGGACCCCCCCCACCCCTCCCCTGACCCTCTCCCTATCCCTGGTGCCCCACTTGTGGCCCCTGACTTGGGCTGCTCGGCACCGACCCCGAGCCCACCCCGGTGAGTCCCCCAAAAGACTGACACCCCCACTCGTGACCCCGCATTTGTGATCCCCCCACACCCCACTCGTGACCCCCCCATTGATGATCTCTGAACCCCACCTGAGCTGCTCAGCACCAACCCCTGAGCCCACCCAGGGAGTGTCACCCCACTCGTGACCCCCCCCATTATTGACACCCCCTTCACTTCACACCCCACTCCCGTGATCCCCGGTTCACGTTCCCCCACTCGTGACACCCCAATCAGGCTGCACAGCACCAACCCCAGGCCCACCCTGGTGAGTGACACCCCCACTCGAGACCCCCCCAGTCGTGACCTCCCACTCCCCCTGCTCAGCACCGACTCCGATCCCCTGCCCTGGCACTGCCGCCCCACTCGTGACCTCCCTCCGCTCGTGACCCCCCCAGTCGTGGCCCCCTCTCTCATGACCCCCCCACTCGTGTCCCTCCCACTCGTGCCCCCCAGGGCGTGGAGCTGAGCTCGCTGCAGGGGCTCAACTTCACCATGATGGAGACGGACTGTGCCGCCAGCGCCCGCCCCGACCCCAACGACTGCGACTTCAAGGAGAACGGGGTGAGGAGGGGCAGGGGGAGGAAGGGGGGACACGGGGGGTCCCAGTAACACCCCCCCGGTGACTCCGGGTGTCCCCGTGTCCCCCCCAGGCCATCAAGGAGTGCTCGGGGCCGGTGCAGCTCCTGCAGAGCTCCCCCGAGTTCGACCTGCGCTGCTTCGACGTCTCCTCCGACGTGAGTCGGGGGGTCGGGGGGCACCCGTGGGTGGGGGCACCCCTGGGGGGTGCTGGTGCCTGTCCCCCTGCCCCACATCCCCCCAGAAGGGCCCCCACGATGGTAGTGAAGGGTGGGGTGGGGATCCTGGGGAGCCAGCGGGTTCTGGGTGGGGTGTCCCAGGGGTTGGATCCTGGGAGGGGGCCCTGGGTGGGATCCAGGGTGGAATCCTGGATGTGGGTCCTTGATGTGGGTCCTGGGTGGGGTCCTGGCTGCAGTGACCTGGGTGCAGGGTCCGGGATGTGGGTCTCAGGTGTGGAGTCCCAGGTGTTGGATCGCGGGTGTGGGATCCTGAGCGGGGACCCCAAGTGTTGGATCCTGCACATGGGGTCCCAGGTGTCCCAGGGGTGGGGTTCTGGGTGCAGGGACATTGGTGGCGTTTCAGGTGTGGGGTTGTGGAGTCCCTGGGGGGGGGACACGAGGGGGGTGCAGGGACCTGGGTGGGGTCCTGGGCGCTGTGACCTGGTGGGTGCTGGGTGTGGGGTCCCAAGTGCTGGATCCTGGGTGTGGGGTCCTGGGTGTGGGGTCCCAGGTGTGGGGTCCCAGGTGTGGGGTCTTGGGTGTGTTCCCAAGTGGGGGTCCCACACCCCCCTCCCCCTGACCCCTCTGTGTCCCCCCCGCAGCCGGTTCTGATCCAGCGCGGCCGCTTCGGGCGCTTCCTGGGCAGGGTGCGGCGCTTCCGACCCCGGATCAAGTTCAACATCGGCATCAGGGGCTCCGTGGGCTTGGGCTGAGCAATAAAGGGCCGGGAGAGGCCGTGTGGGCACCGGGATCCGCCTGCCTCTGTCCCAGGGGGCTGCTCCCCCACACCGTCCCGAGGGCTCGGTCCCCAGGGAATGTGGGGTCGGGGATGTGGGGACAGGGATGGGCTCACTCTGGGCACGCCCCCAAAAAAGGGAACATTCATATCCCCCCCGGCATCATTCCCACGGTGTCATTGTCCCCACGGGATCATCATCCCCACGGAATCTTGTCCCCCCAAAACCAGTGGTGACGGCAAAGGGAGGTGGGGGGGACACAGGGGGAAACAGGGGGGCACTGGGGGAAACAGGGGGAAACAGGGGGACACTGGGGCCGTGACCCCCCCAGGGAGCTGCAAGTGAAGTGGGGGGGTTCAGATCCCATGATGGACCCAGTTTGGGATGGGGACATTGGGGGTGAAGGAACGTGGAGCACAGGGGTCCCTGAGCCCCAAAAGTGGCCAGAGCAGGGTCGTGGCTGCAGCCCCTGGGGCTGTCCCCTCCTGTCCCCCCAACATCCCCGTGGGTCTGTACCCCATAGACCCCTGTGGGGACCCTACAGCTGAGACAGGCTCCCAGGGGACCCCCAAGGTGTCCCAGGATCGGGGGGGCAATCCTGGGGGCACAAGTCCTGTGCCAGGAGGAGGCCCGGGAGCCAGCGGTGCCCATGGGGCCAGGACAGTGCTGTGCCCGTTTTAGGGGGGCTGATCCCACTCCCCCCCAAACTGAGACCCTCTGCCATCAGCATCATCCCCCCTCATGTCCCAGACTCCCTGTGTGGCAAGAAATGGCACAGCAGGGCCGGGAAGCAGCTTGATTTGGGGAGGGGGTGTCAGGGGGGTCCCTGAGGTGGCAGCGCTTCCAGGGGGGTCTCTGCCTCTTCACAGCCTGGAAGAGGTGGGAGGGGACCCCAAACTTGCCCCAGTGAGTGCCCCCCACTCGTGACACCCCTCAGTCATGACCCTCCAACCCCCAGGGTGTCCCCAGCCCTCAGAGTCTCTTGTCTGGGCATGGGGGGAATTTGGGGGTCCTGGGAGCCCTCTGGGGGCCTCACTGGGGTGCAGGGGGAGGGGGTGGCACAGGGACCCTCAGGGTGACACCAGGATTGATGCAGGGATGTTTATTGGCAGCAGAGCACCCGGATGGGGGCCAGGGTGGGGGGACACGGCGGTGCCCCCTCAGGGTTTGGGGACCTGGAGGTTGAGCTTGTCACGGATCCAGATCCGACTGCACTGGAAGATGCTCTGGAAACGCTCTTTGATCCTGGCAAAGAAATCCTTGACCTTGGATCTCCGGATCCGGCCAAACTGGGAGGACAAACAGCAGTGTCAGTTTGGGGGGATGAGAAGGAGGGTCTGGGGGAGCTGGGACCCCCATCCCGGCCCCTTCTTACCTTGGTGGGAGCCTTCCCGCAGGAGAGCTCCACCGTGGGCTGCTGCTCCTCCAGGAACACGGAGCCCTGGCACCAGGTCAGCGCCTGTGGGGACACCGAGGGGACACGGGACAGCCTGAGCCCCCCTGGGCCCAGTTCCCCCCCGCTGATCCCAGTTCCCCATGGGACCCCCAGTTCCTCACCCCGAGCCAGCGGCTCCTGCAGCCCGTGGGGGCCACTCCCGGGCTCCGGCACGTGGTTTCCTCCAGGGTGAAGCTCAGCTCCTGCCGACTCCGCAGGTCCGAGGGCTGGGAGAGAGGACAGGACCCATCAGGGACCCCCCACCCGCAGTGTCCAGCCCCCACCGGGCTGGATCCAGCCCCAGGAGGGGCCACATCCAGCCTGGAATGGGTCCGGCTCAGCCCCGACTTGGCTCAGCCCCGTGGGAGTCAGACCCCAAACGGGGCGGATTCGCCCCAAGAGGGGTCGGATCCATCCCTGAGCTGGATCCATCCCCTGAGCTGGATCCATCCCCTGAGCTGGATCCATCCCCTGAGCCTGGAGCTGTGCCTGGAATGGGGGAGCAGAGCACCCACCCATCCGGGCCGGGGCTGGGCCTCCCGCAGCCGCAGCACGTAGGGACTGACGGCCCTGGAGTTGAGCAGCTTCACGGCCGCCGCCACCACGGCCTCGTAGCTCACGGTCCCGGATCCCGGCGAGGACGTTGGGATGGATCCGTCCCACACCGCCGTGGATCCGTCGGGCCCCGGCGTGGAAGCTCCCACCAGCCCCAGCAGCAGCAGCGGCATAAGCGCCCGGCACAGCCCCATCCTGCTCCTGCTTCCCACTGGGCTGGAAGGGCTTTTATGGGACCTGCCGGGGGCGTTCCCATGGGATGCAACACTGGGACATTCCCAGTGGGATGAGTCTGGCCAGGAGCCCAGTCCAGCCCCCACAGGTCAGTGGGGACGGGTGTGAGGGGTCACCTGTGGGTCAGCGGGGAAGAGGCCACAGGGTTTGGGGTCCCCCTGCCGTGGAGGGGGACAACAAGGACAGGGTGACAGTGACAGTGAGACACGACGTGGCCGTGGATGGCCCAGAGCACGGGATGAAAGCTGCTGGGATCTGTCCCCTCTTCCAGACCTGCGGAGCTTCACCCTGGAGGAAACCACACTCCATCCCTGGACAGGAGGGATCTGTGGGGGGGAACTGGGCCCAGGGGGGCTCAGGCTGTCCCGTGTCCCCTCGGTGTCCCCGCAGGCACTGACCTGGTGCCAGGGCTCCGTGTTCCTGGAGGAGCAGCAGCCCACGGTGGAGCTCTCCTGCGGGAAGGCTCCCACCAAGGTAAGAAGGGGCCGGGATGGGGGTCCCGGCTCCCCCAGACCCCCCTCCTCATCCCCCAAAACTGACACCGCTGTTTGTCCTCCCAGTTCAGCCAGATCCAGAGATCCAAGGTCAAGGAGTTCTTTGCCAGGATCAAAGAGCGTTTCCAGAGCATCTTCCAGTGCAGTCGGATCTGGATCCGTGACAAGCTCAACCTCCAGGCCCCCAAACCCTGAGGGGGCACCGCCGTGTCCCCCCACCCTGGGCCCACATCTGGGTGACAGGAGGGGGAGCTGGGGGGGGTCGGGCTCCGCTCCCAGGGAACAAGGGACAGGAGGAAACAGCCTCAAGTTGTGCCAGGGGAGATTTATTCTGGATATTGGGAAAATTCCTCCTGGAAAGGGCTGTCCCGCCCCGGCACAGGGATGTGGAGTCCCCATCCCTGGAGGGGTTTCAAAGCCCTGTGGATGTGGCACTTGGGGACATGGGTCAGGGGTGGCCTTGGCAGTGCTGGGGGAAGGTTGGGCTCTGTCTCAGAGGCCTTTTCCATCCTCCACAATTCCCTGGCTCTCCGAGGACACATCCCCGCCCCCGGCCAGGGTTTTCCAGCCCAGGGCTGATTTATGGCCTGTCCCCCTGGGCAAACAAGGGGGGTTTGACCAAACACCTCTTTGGGAGCGGCCGCTCTGTCCCAGGCCCAGCAGGAAGCTCCAGGAGGACACCCCGGATCCGTGTCCCGGGGATGACCCTCAGTCCAACCCCCCCAAAGCCACATGGCAGGTTTGGAGCCGGGGTCGCTGGAGGCCTTGGAGAACATCCTCATAAATCACACGGGGACAAACACCCCGGGGGTGGCACTGGGAACTCCCCAGGGAGGGAGGGTGTCAGTCACAGCCCCGCAGCACAACCCAGGGTGACCTCGGAAAGATCCAGGTGCCACCAGGTCCAGCCTTCCCCGGAGAAGGGACCCCGGGTGGGATTATCCTGAACCACATCCAGGTTCACCCTCCAGCGAGGGGGACTCCAACATGTCCCTGGGCAGGTTCTTCCAGGGAATGATTGGTCTTGCTGTACCTCCTACACTGAGGTGAAACCTCTCCCAGTGTCCATTTTCCCTGATCTTCTCCAGGAAAGGAAACCTCTCCCGGTTTTCCCTGGTCTTCCTTTCCCTGTTTTCCCAATCTTCCCCAATTCCCTCCAAATTCTGTGTGATTCTGTGAAATTCTTCCCAATTCCCTCCAAATCTTTCCCAGCTCCTTCCAAATTGTTGCCCATTCCTTCCAAATTCCCTTAAAATTTGTCAATTCCTTCCAAATTCCTTCCAGCTTCCCTCCAAATTCTTCCCCATTCCTTCCAAGTCCCCCCCATACTCTCAAATTCCTTCTGATTTTTTTTCAAATTCCAGATAAATTCCTGACAAATTCAATTCCCTTCCAAATTCTTCCCCATTCCTTCCCAATTCCCTTCCAATTATTCAATTCCTCCCAAATTCCCTCCAAATTCCTGCCCAATTCCTTCCAAAACTCCTCAATTACTCCCATTTTCCCGACAGATCCCACTTAGGGTTTAACAGCAAGACAAACAGCCACAAAACAGATTTATTTAAATGTGATTTTTCAGCACCTTTGCCAGCCCTGATCCAGCTCCAAACAGCCACAAAATCATCGGAGGCAACTTTGGGATGAAAAAGGGAAAATCTGGTGAGTTTTCACTGGGAAGTTTCTATTCCAGGGTGAACTCTGACCACCCTCCCTGCCCAAAACCAAACCCTGAGCTGGGGGAATTCCTGCTCATAAATCCCTCCCTGGGTTTATTTGCCCTTCCCGGATCGCGCTGTCCCTCCCCATTCCGGAACGCCCACGGGTCTGTCTTGGACTCGTTCCCGGGAACGGAGCCATCGGACACTGATCCCACCTGGGCGGGGGGAGGGGGTTTATGGTCCTTCTTATCCAAACCACTCTGGGATTGCGGGATGCAGCCGAAGGGAGGGCACAGCTGGGGCATCACGGAATGGCCTGGCAATGGTTTGGGCTGGAAGGGACCTTAAGGATCATCTTGTTCCATGGGAAGGGACACTTTCCACTATCCCAGGTTTGTCCAAACCTCATCCAATCTGGCCTTGGACACTTTCAGGGGTCCAGGGGCAGCCACAGCTTCTCTGGGCAACCTGTGCCAGGGCCTCCCCACCCTCCCAGCCAGGAATTCCTTCCCAATATCCCATCTAGCCCTGCCCTCTGGCACTGGGAAGCCATTCCCTGTGTCCTGTCCCTCCATGCCTTGTCCCCAGTCCCTCTCCAGCTCTCCTGGAGCCCCTTTAGGCCCTG